AAATATAACGAGCGATAGTTCTTCTTAATTATTTATTTTATAGTTTCGATAGCTTTTAAAGTGATTCTAATTAATATAAATTTTTAAAGTTACTGTTCAGGTCGTTAAATAGCGAAAATATGAATACCCTCAATGTTTCATGGTCTAGAATCGAACGACTTTCGGAAATATGACAGTTAAAAATATATATACTGCCGAATAAACTTAAATGCAAATGAAATTAGCATTTAAAACTTCATCAACCTTATCTAATCAGATTTATGACAAGTTGTAGTAGCGTGCAGTTTGTTCTGCGACTGCAGAATGAAACACGTACCTACGTACCCTGCTTTTGCTGGCTCTTCCAGATCAAACGTGTGAAAATATAGCTGGATCGTTTCGTGCGGTCGTCCGTGAAACCGATAATAGCAGTCAGCGTAGTTAGGGTAAGTGCCGTCCGTCCCTTTAGGGGAAGAGAAGTTACCAGTTTTTGCCTCCGTGCTAGAAAATTCGTGAGTGCATTGCGGCTCTGAAATAACAACTGTAAAATGTTGCCGCTAAGATCTAAACCGTTTTGAACAGAATCAACACACATTCAGCAGAGTTATTAGGATTAACACATCACGCCACAAAAGCTCAACACTAGCATTCATCGCTCACTTGCTTACACACGATATCCTCTTTTGTGAACAACGTCGTTCACACCTTTATTGAACCGCGTTCCTTGTAAGTGAGCTCAATTTGTCCCATAGCAAATACTAGTTAGACAAAGCAGCTTATATTGTGTTACGGCATAGAAAAATATGAAAAAGAAAAGTATTGCCCTCCTACTTATGGGTTATAAAGCTGCCCACCCTAGTGCCACATTATAACCGACCGATTACGTACAATAGCAGAAAGGTTGGTCAAAAAAGAATTTGTAAACATCGCTAACATGATAGACTTTCGCGTGGTGCTATCGCTCTGCTACAATTACTACTTACTACAATTTCAAATGTCAGAAAACAGCTGAAAATGTTCCTAGCACAAAGCGGACAGTGATTGATGTACATTAATTAACATTATCATAAAGTACGTTAGCGATTTGTCGGAAAACGCAAGGTATGTTAACTCGTGCGGAATAAACGATGTCAGGAAATGACATATTTGATGCGCTTTGACGTTTTCATAGCCATTAAAATCACCAGCAACATGGCCCTGATACATAGAAAGAAAGCAGCGGCAGTGCTAGTAAAAACTAAAAAGTACATGGAAAAAAGTGTTTAGCGGCACGCGGGTAGATTCACTAACCTGGCAAATAATCAAGACATTAAACTCGATTTTAGTTTACACGCAACATACCAACGTTTTGTTATAACTATTATAACATTATTATCAATTTAGAGTAAATATATTAATACACGGCTATACGTTACCAGTGGACATTTTCAAGGTTTTAACAGGATAAAATTGAACGAGTGCCTTCTACGGCTTATACTGCCTTATGTGTTGTCGTCAAGCAAGAGTTATAATTCGCGTTAATTTTCTGTTTTCGTCTGGCGAAGAAAGAACGCAACACTAAGTTAAAGCATTTGTTGTAAACAATTTCATTGTTTGTTTTCTGGCTATAATTCTTCGCAATATATGGCACCACTAAAGGTCTTGATTAGATATAACATAGCAGTTACGGTGACGAGAAAACATTATTTTATGGATATATTATTGTGGATGTGTTATTATGGATATTCGTGTAATAAAACGTATAACTATTATTTTACACGATTTGCAAAAAAATTGATATGATGAATATATTCTAACAAGAGCTTGTGTGCTCATTGAAATACACTGAAATTAGTTAGTGGCTAATAAATATCACCAACGACGTCTTCGTCGCCCGAGAGCTTTAGATTTCACATGAATATTTAATTAGGGTGTCTTAATGTGTTAGGCTCCTGACGCTAGGTTGTAGTGTCGCATATCTTCCTTCCATATTGAGCAGGATGTTCAGAACGGTATGATATAAGCAATTGCAAAAACATATATCCACGTAATTCAAATTAACGCAATGGTATAGGTTTAACTTACGATGATATATACCGAGAAGCCGAGGAACGTGCATGCCACGTCGATACAGCGTGCTTGTTAACTACGTATATATTATGCTATATATCATAGTCTAGCATTCAGGCAAGGTTTATTAGCTTATGTCACAAAGTATTACTCTTCGCCTACATGCGCAAGCTAAATCATATTGACGCTGGTAAAGGCATCCCGTGGGATCAAAACATGCTCAGGGTTCAAATCGATGGCTTGTATTATAAGCTATCGTCGGAACAAACCTATTTTTGGTCTCTATTGCATAGACCCAAAAAGCCGGTTGTCGATCGTTTCTACGCTGCTTATCGCTGCGCAACATCAAACTGAGTTAACAACTATAGATACATGAATGTCAATTTAAAATGTAAATTAGCATAATGCGATCCCAGAGTGGTGTTCATGCGGGTTAACTACGCGTGTAAAAGTGTTCTGAGAATATCGATAATGCACACAATGTTTTTGCCAGAAGCTAGTCGCCTGAAGACGATGGCTATAATACGGACGACGGCCATTAAGTTAAAGTAAATTATAAACTACAGAGAGGCGAGTTATTATTAATGTTAAATGTTAGCTCTTTATACCTTTCATTATTAGGAATTACTTGATATCACCCATGTAGACATATTTATACTAATTAGCGATATTGATTTTTATGTTAAATCGCGTATATAACATAATTATTATATGGTCAGACGAGTAGACAATAGGAACACGTTGATGCGATGTAGGCAAATATTGTGAACGAACACATGCAGACGTCTAAAGATCTACACCCTAAAGCCTGCAATTGCATAGCGATCACCTGATGCCATGGTTTCAAACACTGCTCGCCCCCAGTGCGGATATTAGAATAACTAAATCTTTCACCAATATATTAGAAGCAAAGCAAACAAGGACACAATTTTAATGCTTTAATTATTTTGCGCAAAAGTATTTAACTAATTCATCTAGAGCAAACATCAATTAATGAGCCCGGCCAGCGGCAAAGGCGTGCTGACGTCGCTGTTTTCGTGAGGTATGTGTTATTTATAACCACTGATGTGCAACGGGAGTTATAGCGATTAGCGAAGCATACCTCAACCGTTCGCTGCAGACCATGCGATCCATACTAGCTGATCCATACTAGCGATCCATACTATCCATCCTGCCCTGAGACGGATGGGGTCGTTGTCGTATTAGGTACTATACAGATATGTACCCGAGGTAGTTTTAGGTTGTTTAGTATTATGTTTATATTTTTATATGAGGTATGTTTAGGGTTAGGGTTAGGGTTAGGGTTAGGGTTAGGGTTAGGGTTAGTGTTAGGGGCTAGGCGTACACTTTTGTAGTACAAGTCTGGTACACTTTGTGTATACATTTATATGTCTCGGTACATTATCTTGTAACTACCTGAATACGACCAAACGACCCCTTGAGCCTTACGAGTGGGTCAAAATAAGCGCGTTGCACCCCAATACGGCTCGCGCGTAAGACTGTGCACGCGGTGAATAAGCGTGTGTGTGTGTGTGTGTGTGTGTGTGTTGTTGTTGTGTGTCGTGTGTGTGTGTGTGTGTGTGTGTGTGTGTGTGTGGTGCTGTGTGGGTGTGTGTGTGTGTTGGTGTGTGTGTATTGTGATGATATGTGTGTGTGGTTGTGTTATGTGTGTGTGTGTAGTGTGTGTGTGGTGTTGTGTGGTGTGTGGTGTGTGTGTGTGTCGTCAGTGTGTGTGTGTGTGTGTGTGTGTGTTGTGTGTGGCGTTGTGTGCGTTGTGTGTGTGTGTGTGTGTGTGTGTGTGTGTGGTGTGTGTGTGTGTGCGTGCGTGTGTGCGCGCGCGTGTGTGTGTGCGTGCGTGTGTGGTGTGTGTGTGTGTGTGTGTGTGCGTGCGTGTGTGCGTGTGTGTGCGCGAGCCTGGAACCTCACCGAGCGCATCACTGCACGCACGTTTTTCCTTCACACCTGCGCGTTGTGCGCGCGGGGATGGGTTGCCGGCAGTTGCCAATTTATTTCACCGATGTTTAACAAATAAGAGAAGTGTAGAAAACGCGGGGGAAAATATCTCTGAAATGGCAGCTCACCGCCGTCACTGCGGTTTGTTTCGTCGAGCTAGGGATATTGTAGCGGCAGCGTGTGTACTGTACGCCAAGCCGCGAAGCCTTAACTAGACGAACCCGCGGATGATTTGAGCTGTATAGATGGGGAAATAGCCGTTTGCGAACCGATGCATTATCTGAGTAGAACACGAGCAACGTTAGTGTATATCAAGCCAAGAAAGAGACCGCGCTCAAGAACGCTGGGCGCTGTCTATACGGAATATGCCGAAGGTAATATCATGAGACGATACTAAAATGATAATTGTGGTCGCGTCGCAATATGACAGCATTAATCATTCATGTTTACGTCCATCGTGAATATTATTGCTGCGCAGATTATTGGGAGTAGTAGCCGGACAATTTTAATCCGGCTGGCTTGTGTAGCTGGCGAAGCGTATGCACGATTGGATTCTACCACCCATCATGAAGAGGGCGCACCTCCCCTTACATGCCTTCATCGGTAGATAAGCGTAAACGAATCGACTCTGCATCTAATAGCAAAACACATTATAACGGTGAATATGTATTTTATACCAGGCGTAGCACAAGGTGCCGTGAACATTTGGTATTTTATTCGTGCCTCTTATAATAGTAACCGTTGCATAGTGCTACATACAGGAATTCAGTAGGCTATAAATCACTATTAGAGGCTACATATAGGAAATCGACGTGGCGACTCCGCACAACCCGAGTATCATTACGACGTTTATTCGATGTGCAAACTTCACGCGGCGCTACTCTCGTAATTGCCAAGCTTGACGCGACCATACACACACACACACACACACACACACACACACACACACACACACACACACACACACACACACACACACACACCAC